TCTCTGATGGAGCCACACCTAAACTTCTGATTTTAGTATACGCACATACACACACGATGAGTGTACTGTGTGGATACATTGTCTGACTAGGGACCTGGCTGTTGTGCGACTCCCATTCACCTCCACACTGGTGGCTCCTGTTCGGATTTTCCCTGCATTAATTCACAGGAAGAGCTGCCAGGCTAGCTTTTGCTCCTGCGGTGGCAAACGGCGTCAGGTTGCCCCCACCACCCTCCGGCCCTGGCCAGTGCTCCGTCCTTTTAATGGCACAGCTCTCCTCTCTGCCCCCAACATCTGCGGCACCCATAAAAACCGCGGCCTCCATCTGTCTGGGCTGTTTGCTAAGCGAGTGTCTCTGTTTGCATACCGCACGCATGAGGCCGGTTTTTCCTGACTCCTCTGTTTAATTGCATCGGGTCCCTCATTCATTCTTGGCACCAGAGAATGTTGCACTGGCCCAAAAGGCCCTTGCTATTTTTGAGCGTGGTGATGCTTCCCCCTGTGCCCCATCCCTGCTGGTAGTCATTACAGTTCGGTGAAATCTGGAATGGATAGATTGCGGAGAGCTGGAGAAGCAAGAGATGGCAGATTTAATCCTTTCAGGGGCACCCTCCTCCGGTTGTGTGTGTCTCCCAGCTGTCCTTTTGGCTGAGCTGCAGCAGCTGGGCCGAATCCAGCCTTGGGGAAAGGAGACTGTGTCCCTTGGGAGCGGCATCTCTGTGAATCTTGTCTGGATGTCTGAGCTACCAGGCCTTCTCCCACCAGCCCAGTTGCTCCTGTTCTGTACAGTTGGAAGTTCTGGAAGTTGGTACTAGTTTGTAAGGAATTGTTGGAGAGGAAGATACAGTGCACTCTTAAAGTTGGTTGTACTGTTGCAAAATGCACATTTTATGCCAACTGTGGATGCAATAATTTTTGCTACTGCAGATGGCTTTGCCCTCTTCTTTCCAGCTTCCACTCCCCTGGGCCCAGTCCTAGCGCCAGATCGATTTTAAACCCATTACTCCTCCTCTGGAGTCGAGCCAGAGATGCCCATTACTCGTGTGGAGCCCGGAAGAAGTCAGCCACCGTCCCAACGCCTGCACACCTCTGTTCTTTCTCCATGACTCCTTGGAGAAATTTGAGGGGGATGAGGAAGGGGCCCGAGGAGGGGCTGGGCTGAGCCACTCCCTGGATGAGCAATTCCACATGTTCCCCGCCTCCCTTTTTCATGAATGATGGCTGTGTTGGGTGATCTCAGGCTGCCCTGAAGGAGTCTCCTGCTGTCCTTGCAAATGATGATAAGCTTGACTCAGGTAGCCCATAAGCGCAAGGCATCTTTTCTGCGTGCTGGGTTGAGAAGGAGCACAGCTGCTGTTTGCATGCAGGGGGTGACTCTGTTAGGTGCAGGGAAAGAACTGAGGCCTCAAACTCCTGCTTTGCCGTATTGCTCGCTAGCAGAACCTTCCGCCTTTGCGTGTCTGGATTCTTCCTCTGCAGTTGCCCCAAAGCACCGTCTTTGCGGGAATCTGCAGTTGTCTTGCTGTTGCAAGAATCCATGTTGCTCTGGGAGGATTAGCGAGGGCTGGGTTTCCATAAATTTCCCCAGCAGGGACGGGCAACAATGGAAAATAAACAATGGGAAGCAAATGGAGTGGTCGCTTCGTTTGGCTGGTGGGTGATGAATTTCAGCGGGTGGCAAGAAGATGTGCTGAAGAGCTGCAACAAGCAGACCTTGGAAGATGTTCTCCTGGGAGGTAAATGAGGATGCTAAAAAGAAATACTGTATATGCTGCAGAAGAACTGGGGTGAGACTTGGCAGGTGTCCGTATAAAAATGCTTGGAAAGGCAGGCAAGGTATTGGGCCCGACAGAAAAGCCGACCAAGAGATTTTCATCTGTAACCCTCCCTCTGCTTTTCGAAAGAGTAGTAAGTGTCCTTATGAAAGAAGCAGGATCCGTATTTTCAGAGCAAGCATCCCCAGCTGGCTTTCATGGAACATTTTTTTCTTCTAGTCAATGATGCCTTGTTTCCTGCTCAGAGAGGCAAAGAGGTTTCAGGGTTCAGCCAGCCAGCCGGCCGGCCGGCCGCTCTCACTGGGTTCAGACATCTTGGCAACCTGCATTTGGCAAGGGTAGTTAGGCTGGGTCACAACCGGCACGCGTGGAGAGGGAAAATTGGCCACGGTGGCTCCCCACTCCTCCACCCCGGTGGTGCCAGTCCAGTCCTAAAGAGTGCTGCTGTTGCGACTGCTGCCCAGTGAGGGAACGTTCCAGGAGAGGTCGCCTTTGCTGTTCCCCAACAGCTCTGAGCTGCGGCTCCAGACACCCCAGCTGCCCTTTTCCATGTGGCGCCACCTGCCCCCCTTGTGAGGAAGGAGTCACGTCTGTGTAAGATGCTCTCCCTGCTGCCTCTCTGGCCCCCAGTGTAGGCTCCAGGTCTTCACAGGTGCTTGGACCTCCACCTGTAGGAGCTGACCTTCCCGCTGCCAGCAGCACCGGCAGGCTTTCTTCTTCGCCATGTTGGCTCCAGGTGGGTCTCACTGGAGGGGGAGAGGGAGCCCTCCAGAAGAGGAGCCATCCCTGAAAAGGCCTTGTTGTTGCATCCTGAGCTTCCCTGGGAGGAGGTGCTTGGAAGGAAGCCTCAGGAAATGAGTGCCGGTAGAAGCAGGCTGGAGCTGAGAGCGGTGGTCTCCATGCCTCATTCTGGGCCAGGGAGGGCGTGTTCCAGGAGGCGCCCCTGACTGGCCATTGCTGGGAATGCAGTGCAGGGCCATCTCCGACTTCCTACAGGGCCTTGCTGCCCAGTTGAGGGAAAACGGCACCAGCAGCCTGGGCAGGCCACTCCCCCAGCCACCCTCCCTTCTGCTGGTACGGCTGAAACAAAGCCCATCGCTGGAAGTAATGTGGGATTGCCTTTCAGGACTGAGCGGGGAAGCATCTAATCCCACTAGCAAAATGCACATATAATGACCTATAAGTCCAGCTTTTTCTGACTGTCTGTCTGGGAAACCCGGCAGATGTTCAGCAAGAGGGCTGTATTCCCCGGATGGCTGAGTCCGACCGCCTCTTCATCCCAGAACAATTGGAAGCCGGAGGAAGCCGGGGGTCGGACAGGAGATTGGGGTGTGGGTGGAACAGGGAGGGTAATCGGAGAAGGCTGGCAGGTCTGCCTGCAGCCGGCGTTGAATAAGAGCCTCTGCGTTCCCACCTGTTCCGCTGCAAACAGCATCTGGGAAGTTGCTTCATCCGGGGCAGCCGTTTCCCCTTCTTGTGGTTAATGAGAACAGCAGCCGGGCACGTGCCCTGAAGGAAGCCCAGCTTCTCAATTCCTTCCTCCCGCTGCCCCCCACCCACCCCACCAGCCCCACTCCCCGAAAAGGAAAGGGATAATACTTTATTTCCACCCAGCTCCATCAAACCTTCCTTCAGGAAACAGCCCAGGCGAGAAGATGCCTTTTTTTAAACTGGAGCAACTAGTCCTCAGAGCAAAAGCTGGAGGCAAGTCCTTGTGCTGTGCAGGATCCTTCTTGTGAAGCTGTTTGCAGGATGGCATCTCGAAAGTTTTGGCCAGGTTGGCTAGACTTGTTGATCACGGCAGCAGGCGCCTTCAGCAGGACTGACAGGGCTTCTGAAATCGGAAGCCTTCCTGTGAGGCGCTTGGCGCATCTCTGGGCCATTTTGCCAGAGGGTGCAGTTCGCGTCCGTCTGCCTCGCCCCCGGCCGGCCGGCCGGCCACGCTTGCATGAACCTGCACATTCTGCACTGGGTTTGCAGCGACTGAGCCGCCCAGCCTTCCCTCGCAGAATCCTGGCGAGGCACGGAGCACCTGCCGGGCCTTGCCCAGCTCTCCTCGCCTCCCAAAATACTTTCCCAGGGAGGGAATGCCTGTTCAACCGAAGACCCTGCTTGGGCAAATAGACACGGCTGCTAGAGGCCCCCAGGATGGGGCCACAGCCTCTGTTGCCAGGCAGCGCTGGGCAGCGATGGGGAATCTTGGGACTCGGGAGGGAGTTCTTTCTTCAGTTTCCTTTAGCGCAGAGAAATGCATGGTCTTTGTGACCGAGTTACGCCGTGCTTAATTAATCCTGAAAAGGAGGTGGTCTTTCCGTGGTCTCTTGCAATACGGGGGTCTGATAAATTGCACCATCCCCATCTTGATTTGCAGGGAGGGGGCGTCTTTGAAGTTCGAGAGGACAATCCTCGTCAAGGATTCTTCTCCCAGAACTCCAGAAGTCACAGCAATGGGGCAGATCGGTCCGGTCCCTCGGGCGCTTGCCTTGCGTAAGACGAAGGCCCCGTGCCGTGGAGTGCGCTAGAGACATTAATTTTGCTCCAAAGCTTCAGAAGTGTGAAGCGATTAGGGCCACGTTCCACTGCACTCCGGACAGACAGAAAAGATGCCTGAGCTGGGAATTGTAGGCCTTTTCTTCTGCCTGAATATGTACAGAATGGGCCCCAGTTTCAGTTGATTAACTGATTTGGTGTTGATTAACTTAGCATAATATTTGCATAGGGGTAAACAAAAGCTTTTGAAATAAGCAGTATGCTTTCTTTTCCTTGAATAATGCATGGGTGTCAGAGGAAAGATCGTCTTGCGGCTAGCTATGTCCAGGGTTTGGCTACTGATCTATATGGAAGAACCTGATTCATCGGGGGAAACATTTTGTGCACATTTATATATTTGACATATAAAATGCATGCACATGTATGTATTTAAACATAAGGGAGTTACATGCATTTTTACTGATGGACAGAATGGCTCTATTCTGAATTGTGTCGTTTCATGTTAGGCTGATAAAGGCTTAACCAGAGGGGCAAATTATTATTATTATTTGCTTTTAAACCAGCCCAGATTTTAACAGCAACCTGGAGCGCGTGTCCCCATAAAGGGTCTTCCTTCTTCACCTCTAGCAAAGTACAGTCCTGCATGGGGCAGACACAGAAGGGGCAGGGAGAACCCACCCGTGTTCTCCAGCGGTGGCCCTGCTGTACCTCACCGTTGGCTTGTCTCTGTCCCAGGGGGAACGGGGAGCAATGTGGAAGTCTTCACGCCGGAACTCGTGGAAGAGGCGATCGGGACCGTGGCTGTTATCCCCTGCGAGGTCAAGCTCCCCGAAGACGGAAATTACGCTTATGTCAATTGGTACACGGTGAGCAAAACATGGGGCGTCAAGAGAGGTTTGGGGGCAGAAGACTGGGCCCATGACATGGCTTTGTGCCCTTATTGGGCTTGGCCAAACCTGCAGCCATATGGAAGCTTTTGAGTAACACAGAGCTCTTTGTCAGATGCAGCCTTCGATGGCCTCTGTGATTTCTTTCTTGTTGTACCTGTCGCTTTGCATTCTGCCTACGCTTCGCCCGTGTGCTCGGAGCAGACTTTTCTGAGATTAGCATGACGCGCCTTTGCCAGGCCCCATTCCAGTTCCCAGCCCTTCGTGCCCATCTTCATTTCCCGTTTGGTGACCTCTTTGAGGCCATAGACGTTACACTGGACTTGCAGCTACTGATGGTGTCTGACTGTCAGTGCTGTGTAATCCTAAACATTGCACTGGCAGGTGGTGGTTTTCTTCATTTTAGAATGCTACCTTTTTAAGACCTTTTTATTTAAATAATATTTTAATAATTGCTGATTTTATTTATTGGTTTTAAATTATTAAGCCAGGATGTTTCCAGATTTTATATATAAATTTTTTATTATATTTTGTATGTATGTATGTATGTTTTTTTATAGATATTTATATGTTGGAAGCCGTCCCGAGGCTTATGCAAATGGGATGGCATACAAAAATTCCAAATAAATAAAATAAATAAATACCTTTTGGATTCCGTTATAAAGATCACTAGAAACTGATGAGGATTTTACAAGAAGTAGGATGCACTAAGTAAAGCACTAGAAAGATCACTAGAAATGGATGAGAATTTTAGAACAAGCAAGATGAAATGAGTAAAGCAAGGAGAGGCAATTTAAGATTTTTTTCCTTCCCTGGTTTTGGAAGGCCAACACTGCCCCCCTGTGGCAACTCATGTACCTGGCAGCCGCTCTGGGAGAAAAAGGAGATTTCAATAAACCTAATTTTGATTTGTTGGAGTGCAGGCACAATGTAAAACCATAGCTGTTGGAACATTAATTTAACAGCAAATAATAATAAAATAAACAGTTCTTTAAACCATCAGAAAGGCTGGCGGTGGACAGGGCAAGTCCAAGGAGGAGCAGGAATCTGGCTGGCAGGGGGAAAGGGGGCATCCCACCGGTAAGAAAGAGGAATACCCTGGCTTGTCCTTCTTAAATACACAGGTGGACTCCTCCATAGAGAGCAGAGGAGAAGCGTTTCATACAGATGCACATTTCTGATCTGCTTCTCTCTTGTTTGGAATTCCAGGGGCTTTTAAGAAATGATTTTAGCCCTGCTTACAGAAATGCTTTGCATCCATCCCAGGCCTTCCTTGCAGCGAGCCTCTTTTTAACCCTTGTCCTCCTTACAGACGGCTCCGTGACAGGAAGCGAGCTCTCCCTCTGCTCCCGCCCCCTCCGCCGGCAAGTCCTGTGTGTGCTACCGGCCAGGCCTTGGGTGTGGGCAGGGCTGGACTGGGCCCTCTCATTGCAAACCCCCCTCTAATGTTTCAGATGGACAGAAACACACGAAAGAAGATCATATACATGATTCAGGGCAAGCAGCATCATGCAGAGCCTGAATTCCAGGACCGGCTGAGCATGTCTGCCAACTTCTCCCTCGTCATCAGCAAGGTGACCCTGAAGGATGCCAAGGTGTACGTGTGCCAGGTGGGGCTAGGCAGCTTAGGTGTCGGCGAGAATCGGACTGAGCTGCGTGTCTACAGTGAGTAGTTCTGGGGGCCGGATCCTGTGGAGGTGCAAGATATGCCCCCTTTGCAGACCTGCCTGTCTGTTTTCTTGGGGGAATCGGGGGTGGTGAGTGGGATTTGCCGCTGTGAGGGACTGGGGGGCATCTCTCCCTAGTCCTCTGTAAGACAAGCCATGGGGAATTGGGGTGCACAGTGGTGGAGGCTGGCCGCCCTGGAACCTGGGAAATGGCAGGGACATGGACACCATCTGCCCCTCCTCACCATCCTCCAAACATCCCCTTTGCCTCGGAGTTCATCTGCAACCCTTGCAATATCTGGGAGGAAAGACTTTTTGTTCCCACCTGAAGCAACACAATTTGGTTTCCGTTCAACATGGCAGAGGCCTGTGTGATCTGAAAGCCTGGCTCGTTTATTCCAGCCTTCGTGGACACTGACCACAGAAGCCAACAGCACCCATAAAAGCTCGTGGGGAAATGAATGAGTTAGTCTTTAAGGTGCCGGCAAGGTTTTCAGGCTTTTTGCTATAGCAGATGATCACAACGGCTCCTTGGGAAACAGTCCTCTTCTAGGATGCAGAGTATTTATGCCCTTTAGAGAGTAATTTGCTTGACTTCCCTTACTTGGAAAAGTTGTCTGTCGGGCCATCCGTGTGGCTGGCATTCTGCCAGATAGAGGGTGGGTTTCTGTCCCAAGGAGCCTACAGTTGCGAATTTCGCCCAGGAGAGAAGCCAGGGGAAGTGGGGCCAAGCGGACAGACAGAAGTCAGTGGCAGAAAATGATTTCCTCGTCATCACGTGTCAGGATCTGGGGCTGAGGGGTCGCACCAGAGAAAGGGTCCTGAGCAGGGACTCCAAAGAGGCCAAAGGCTGCGGCCCTGAAATCAGTTCCAGGCATCGAGAGAGCTCTGGTCGGGTCCTGGGAAGAATTGCATCAGGCATGAGCCTGAGTAGGGCTGCAGAGCACAGAGGAGCATTGTACGGCAAAGGGGACACTTCTTGGGAAAGCCAGGCTGTGGTTGCTTGATGGATGGGGTGCTTCCGCTCTTCCAGAAATTCCAGAATCCCCGGAGATCCTGGAGAGCGACGGCGGCATCACGGCGTCGGATTCCAAGATGCACACGGTAAGATTCCAAGATGCACACGCCTGCACGGCAAGCACATCGGCAGCGATGCAGCATGAGCTTGCATTTGGTGTCCAGCACAGAATTCCCCGTCATCAGTGCCTTGTGCTTTTGGTAAAAAGAGAACACTGTGCAAGTTTCTAGCCCTTATGTGTCAGTGAATGAGTCCATAGCTTTGGAGAAAGCTTTGACATAGCATTTCCTAGATGAAGTCAGGGCCGAAGCTTCCTTTCTCTCGCTGGCTTAATTCCCAAGATTTTTTTAAAAAAGGGCCAGAAGGCAGTATTTCAAGATGGTGCATTTGATCACGGCTAGAGCGAAGGGGGATGTTGTGGTGATAAACATGCCTTTTGGGTGAAGCAGAGGAGATTGCGGTGCTGGAAATCCTTGGAGGGCGAGGTGTCAGTATGAACTGAAATCAGGATAGAACAGACCGTGTAATGCACGGTTTGCCTGGAACGCATTTATGGGAACGTTGTCTTTGCAGTCAGCAAGTATACCAGCTGCGAGCCTCAGGCCAAGCTTTTAATAAGCCCCTTAGATCATACACTGGGATTCTGCCTGCCTTGCAGATCGGCCGGTGTGTCAGTCGCAACGGGTACCCAACCCCCACCATCACGTGGTACAAGAATAAAGAGCCTCTGAGCGCTGACGGAACAGGTGAGTCTGCAGGAGTCGTGATGCAGCTTCGGGCGCTGAAGCCTGTGGCAGAACAAAATATGGGGGCCACCCATTTGGGGTGCTTGGCACAAGACTTCTGTTGGTGGAGCGCACAGGAGGAGGGGTCCCAGCTGGGATTGCAAGGCTGGGTATCCCTCATGGCATGAGCAGAGAGAGCGTCTGTCCAAAGCACACGTGCCTTTCCTCTGGGCTTCATGCTGTCTCCGCCTTTCTCTTGCTCCTCCAGAAATCGAAATCCGGCCTGCGGTCACCATGGAGTCCAGTGGGCTGATCACGCTGAGCAGCACCCTTTCGGCACGGGTCACCAAAGAGGACCGCCACGCCAACTTCACCTGCCAAGTCAGCCACGAGAAGGGCAAGGCCCTGCCGCAGTCAAAGAGCTTCAAAATCAACGTCCACTGTAAGGGGGCAGTGGGCAGCGGGCAGGGCCGTTGGGCAGGGACTGCTGTAGGCCTCCGGGAGAGAGAAAGGGGGAGATGTTCTGAGAGCCCTGGAGGCTGCGTGCGGAGGAAGGCGAACAATGCTGAGCCCAAGGCTGGAGATGCCAGTGCCTTTGCTCTCGCCTGCACGGGATGGGGAGGCGGGCGAGGAGAAACCGCAGCAGCTCCTGCAGGCTTGCTCTGCCCCTCGCTGTAGATCCGTCCGAGAACATCAGCTTCCAGATAGAAGCCCAGAGCCCCGTCAAGGAGGGGGACAACGTGACACTGCGCTGCAAAGCCGACGGGAACCCAGAACCCGAATACACCTTTCACAAAGTGGAGGTGAGCGTGCAGCACACCTGCGGCTGCGACAGGGCTTCGTTCCCCCTTGCTCAGGACTGGCCAGCTTGTCGGGTAGGGGCTGAGGGGCCACTTAGCCACATGCCAGGCCACGGCCCCACACTCGACATCAGAGGAGGCCTGTGGAGAATGGAAGAATGGGCTGTTTGCTGCCAGAAGGAAGAAGTATCTGTTTCCCCACAATCACTCGCTTTTGGGGAGAGGAGAAGTTACCATGAAATACCAGCAAACTCTGCCTCAGCTTGGGTTCCTCAGTGCAAAGGAGCTACTTGTGAGCACTGGAAAGATCCGGTTTGCTCATCAGTAAATGATTTTCGCCCTCTGCAGAATGTGCTGGGTGGATTTCACCCTGCAGCGTAACTGGGGCCCCCTGTGCAGATCAATGGGCGCCTCTTAAACCTGGGCAGAACGTGTTTATCTGAAGTTTGGCTAGACGGTTCTGTGGCACGTGCTCTTTCGCAGTGATGCTAAGGAGGGCCTTGCTGCGCTTTCTTCTCTCTGTCTTGTGCTCCGGAGGACAAGGAGGTGGAGCTGCCTTCCACTGTTGGCGGGGGAGAGCTGGTCTTCCACAGCGTGGAGAGGAGCGCCAGTGGGCTTTATCGGTGCAAGGCCCTGGACCTGCAGAATTTCATGGAGCTGACAGCGGACTTAAATCTTCCTGTGCACTGTGAGTAGGGCTGGGCGGGTCTCTTCGGGGCAGGGGGTGCCCCGGCTTTCCCTTCGTGCTGTCGCCCGGTCTAAAGACGCCTTGGCCGCTCATTCGCAAGAGCTTCGCTTGCTTCATTACAGCAATGTGCCGTGTCCTAAAGCGAAAAGCAGGCTTCCTTTTTTGCTCTGAGACGGTGCGCATAAGCATGGCAGCAGGTCTGCCATGACTTTTCCGGGATGGCATGTCTGTAACTATCGCAGTAGGGATGTGATTTTCAAAACCTGCTAACTGCTCAAGCTCCCCCAGCCTGGGGACCACTGGGTGTATTGAACTGCAAGCCCCATCATTCCCAGAAAGGACGCTTTGAGTTCTGCATTTCAGCTTCGCTTGAGCCTCAGCTGCAGGTACAGGTGTGCAGTTCAGGGTGGGATGTGCAGAGAACTGGCTGAACATCTGCAAAGGCACGAAGAGGGAGAGGTGCCGGGCTTTCCACAAACCTCGTATGTGCGTTTGACCACGTCCTCCGCCGGTCGCATGTTCGGCCTCCCAGCGGCCTGCTCATACAGCAAGGTCCTTTTGCAAGGAAGACGTGTGATGCTCCACAGAGCAAGCTCTTCCTTAGAGCGCACCTGTTCTCCCTCTCTCTCTCTCTCTCTCTCTCTCTCTCTCTCTCTCACACACACACACACACACAGTGGTGTTGCTCTCTGCCCACAAAAGCACAACCAGCGACCGCACGGCATGGCAGGTCGGGGCAATCGCATGTTTCAGGGCCTGACTCTTGCCCCCGCCATTCCCAGGCTCTGCATGAAGGGCTGGGAAGGACCCGGCGCTGTGCAAAGGTGGGAGATCTCATTGTGACGTGCCCAGCGTTCGCATTTCTCTCCCGCAGACCTCGACGTTCCCACCATCATCCCAGAGCAGCCCAAACATCTGCGTGAGGGGGACAACTTGCACCTCGCATGCAGCACGACAAGCTCCGGACCTGTGGAAATCCACTGGGAAAGGGTAATCTTGGCTTAAAAGTGCTGGCTGGTCGCGCAACGGCCTCAGTTTCAGCCCTGACCGCCCTTGGCTGGAGCACGAACCTGCAGGGCTGGGTTTGGCACCGGGACTTGCGACAAATAACCGGGGATGAGAAATGGACATAGCACGTTCTGCTAGCGACAGCCGAGGGTAAAACACCTGATGTGTACACAGTGGAGCAGTATTGCTTTCCAATCAGGGACTTCAGTTCTTGCTCAGATGCATTCTAATGAATGGTTTTTAAACTGGCTGGAAGGTTCAGACCCTCTTAAGGCCAAGAGGCCCATCAGAAGCGTTCTTCAGATCGTGGGAAAGAGACTAAGGAGGGTGGCTGCCGCTCTCCCGAAAGGCCTCGAGGAGAAATCAGACTCCCCAGTGTGAGGAACAGCAGTCAGATTGTCCTAAATCTCGGTGGTTACTGCGATGCACTACAGGGAAAATCTCCAGCCAGGGGGCGTTGGGAAAGGCATTTTTGCCTGTAAAGTGGAGGGGCAAGGAAAGAAAATCGGATGCTCCTCTGCCAGCAATGAAATTAGATGTTAGTTGGCTTCCTCTGCCCGCTCCCCCTCCCCGCTGCCACCTCTTTTTTGGACTTTCTTTGTATTTGGAAAATCAAATATTTATTCTTATTAATAATTAACATCCGCATTAGCATCCTCATTGGAGCCAGCGTGGCACGCTGGACTGGGGGCCTGGGCGATCTGGCTCCTGAAGCACCCGGGGGGCGAGGGTTTGATCTGGGGGAGTCATCCACTCTCAGCCTACCTAACAAGGCTGTTGTTGCGAGGCTTACCTTGTAAGATGCCTTGGCTGGGAATGCAAGGTGTCGATCATCTCAGAGGACTGGGAGGGGCAGCGAGGCAAGGTGCCCACGGGAGCCAAAGTGCCTCCGCCAGGACGACAGCACGCAAGGAGCAGGCTGCGGGGAGCAGGCACGGCACAGGTGGGACAAGATCCGGGCCGCTGGCTCAGGGAAGCCCCGTCGCGCTGGCCCCCTTTCCTGGTCCCAACCTCCCCCCACCTCCCCCTCTTTCCAGAACGGGAATGAGATCACGAAGGGGCACTTCCTGAACTTGACTTCCATGAGGTTCGAGATGTCCGGCAACTACAGCTGTGTGGCTCGCATGCTCCAGGCACCCAGCCTCGTGCGCTCCAAGCAGGTTCTGTTAGCTGTTCATGGTAAGGGCTGCCCCCACCCTGGCCCCCCACCCGCCCCCGCCCCCGGCAGCAGTCCCGGCACAGCACCTGCAAGTCCTCCACCTGCTCCCTTGCAGCAAAGCCTCTCCTGGCCTCCCCGAAAGAGCTGGTGCTCGTGCAGAAGGGGAAGATGGCGAAGCTGACCTGCACCGTCCTCTCCGTCCCCAAGCCCAAGATCACGTGGAGCATCAGCAATGGAACGGTGAGCTGTTGTGTGGCCCCTTGGGGGGCCGGCGGGCTGGCGGCTGGGGCACGCCCTGTGTGCTTCGGGGAGTGAAGGCCATGAAGCGCGAGGTCCCCGGTCAGGTCCCGGCGTGTCCAAAGCACGTGGGGCAAAAGTGAGCGAGCCGCTCACTCCTCGGCGCCCCATCCTGGGAGCTAAAATAGCAGCTCAGTGGCACTCCGATGCCCAGGGATGGGGAACAGCCGCAGGGCGGTGTGTTGCGTTTTGTTTCCCCGTCTCTCACGTTCTCCCTCACCGAGTGCTTCAGGCAGCCTTCCCCGCAGTACCTGAGCATTAACCATCCAGAAAAATTCTGACTGGACCAACTTTGATGTGGGCATTGAACTCTTTCGGCACAAGTGCCAAGTTTCGGCTGTGGGAAAGCTTTTGGGACCTGGATTTTATCGGTGGGCGAAACCAAAGGCAAAGGGGGGGCATAATACCCAAGGTGCCCGCAGAGCGGAGCTGGAAATTCCCCCTGCCCACAGCTCAGCTTTAGGAGAAGCAATTTGGACTTGCAGAATGGAGGGAGACACTGCAGACTGCAGGAGGCCACCCAGGAGGGGCTGAGGGAATGGGACGGCCCCTCCGGAGAACCCTGGAGGGCGGCTTTGGGGACCACTCACAGGACCACTAGGCTGGGTTCTTCTGTTGCAAGAGCTTCCCTCAGGGCAACCTGCATTTTCCCATCCGACAGATCCTTTCCTCCAGGATCAATTTCCAGTACAACAGCACGCTCACGGTCCAGGTTACCGAGGAGCTTCTGGACTCGGGAATCAACTGCTCCGCCGAGAACAGGCTGGGCCGAGTGGAGCATCATTTCCGGCTGGAGCAGAGTAAGTTCATCGCCGTCTCCTTCACCTCCCTCCCTCCGGCTGCTGTCTGGCCAGAATCTGGCTTCATGCAACTAGGTCCCATTCCATGTCCTGCCCCCTGGGACGATCGAGAAGAGATCCTGTCCTTCCTCTTTGTGACAGCGCTGTTGCATCTTCCTCCAGTCTTCTCGAGGTCAAACATGCCCACGTCTTTCAGTTGCTCCTTGTAGTCCCTGGATCGAATTGAGAAACAGTATTTTGCAGAGGGAGCCGCGCGTCCTTCCTCAACAGCCCCCGGGCAGCTTCTTCAGACTCCCTCGCACCAGGCCAGGATGCTCTCTGCTTCCTTCAGAACGAAGCCAAGGGCTTTGACAGGCACTCGGTGCAGGGGGCAAACCAGCAGTGCAGAGCGGCAGCTCATCCTGCCTTGCTCCTTCTCTTTCAGTACCAGAGAAGAAAGCTCCGGATAGCAGTAAAGGTAAGTTCTTCTATCTCACTGCTGTCAAACACACCTTGCCCTTGGTGGTCCAGGTGCCCTCCGGGCAAGAAGACAGGGTCTCAGGGTGTGGGGAAGTAGCCAGCAGGTGTCTGGGGGCAAGGTCCGAAGCGTGCAGTGCAGCAGCGTTTCTGAGGCTCAGAGGACTGACCCAGGCTGGGGCCTGACTGGGCGGCCACCTCGCCACGAACGCAGCTTGGCATTCCTGTGATAGAAGAGGGGGGGAATGCTTGACAGGAGGGGATAAGTAGGGCAGGGGTTTTTTAAGCCTCTCTTGCCCACCCCCAAGCCTGGTGCAAGAGCGTCCAGCGGAAGACCCTCCCAAGGAGACGTGCGGGCTGGGTCTTTGCTCCATCCGCCAAGGCAGGAGGGGAGTGGGAGCCGCTGAGCTCCCTGCCTGAGGGCGGCCTTCCTCCGCTGGGGCCCTCCAGACGTCCCAGCGCCCGGGCCGTTTGCCATGCTTGCTGCAGCCGAGGGGGGTGGAAGCCCAAGGCGCCTCTTGCTCCGCGGATCGGATCGGTCCAGAGCCCCCAGGACGTGGGAGCGGCGTCTTGGCCCAGCCATGTCTCTGGGCTGCTCCAGTTGCGGCCCACGTCACCCTCCGCCTCTTCCCAGGCATGGCGGCTGAGCAGGCAGGGTGGCCTTCCTGGCACCCGCCGTCTCCTGTGCAGTGTCTGTGCTGCAGGCAGCTGCAGCAGGGTTTCTGCGGAAGGTCCCCTCGGTGCGAGGCAGGAACGTTGCAGCCGAGGAGGACTTGCCCCAGTCCACAGCCAATTTCAACAACGGAAGAGGGGGCGGGAAAGTCTGTCGTCGTTGGTTAAGAGCAGGGAGTTCCCCACGGTGCTTTTGCGCTCAGTGCGAAGACCCCGTTCTCCAGTTCTCCACCCTCCTCATGTCTTGCCCACCCCAATTTGGCAGGGAATGACACTTCCAGAGAGGCAGAGGAACCTGGGAGCATCCCAAAGAAAGGTATCTGTTTTACTTCTTTTGGGGCAGATTTGGTGGACCTCTGGCTCACACCACCTTTCTGGAGGCAACCTGCAAGTCCATAGCCAAAGGTAGCTGACAGTCAGGGGCTGCACAGGTGCTTTCCAGCTGTTAAAACTCTTTTTCAGCAAAGCAGAGCTAATTCTGCAGTGAGAAAAGCTGTTTCCATGCAGAGTGTTTCTGTCTTGAGCACAACTTTCTCTTCTTCTGCTGATCTTGGAGAGAAGCAAGGTTATGATGATTGAGGCCAGCCCTGGAATCAAATGGAGCACATCTCTGAATTGTGCTGCGGATGAAGAATGAATAGCTCAGGGGGACTGTTGCTGGTCATGTCCTCTTTATGGGCATCACAGGCTTGGTCACTTGGAGTCCACCAGAAGCTGGACTAGGTGGCCTTTGAGCTGGTGCAGAGGACTCCTCCCATTGTCTTCAGCATACCGGCTTGGCAGTTTTATTTACCTCTCGGCAGTTTTATTTACCTCTCCAGAATTCCACCAGAATTCAACTGAGGTTAAAGTTTGTTTCCGGCCATGAGGGCTAGAAACCCTAGCTGTGGTTTGATGGGAGTGTCCCTGTTTTGCATGCAGATGGTCCTGGTTTCAGTCGTCTCCAGGTAGGGCTGGAGACATTCCGGCTGGAGACTCTGGAGAGCTGCTACTCCTCATGTCTCGTTGACCTTTCAGCCTGAAGACCAAGTCCACCTTCAGAAAAGCGCTCTGGGGCAGCTCTCCCAGAGCAGGAGGACTGCCTGGGGTGGGAGTGGATTTCTCCTGCTGTTCCTTTCTTCGGGGCTTCAGTGGGTCAGCCTTGGGACAGGATGTGATTTGTGTCTGGTCGGCCCCTTTGGGAATGAATTGGTAGAGATGGTGGTTTGTTGTGATTCTGCAGGATGGTTGCTTGTTACTTTTATCAGATAGACCTCTAGGGCTTAGCTCCTCAATCGACGCATGAATACGTTAAAATAGAGTTAAAGGTAGTTAATCTTGTGTTCTTTTTAAGAGGTTTTAGAATGTGCTGGCTGAGTGCTGGGGGGAGCACCTTCTTATTTAAAAATGTTCTATACCATCTATTATTTTCATCCCCCCAAAATCTCAAAGGCTAAAGTAGCGTTCACAGTCAAATCAACAAAACTTGGCAGGCTATTTGAAATGCTTCCACCAGGAATCCAGGTCGCAAAAGTTCTCCACATGGTTTGTATGACAAGCGGACCCGGGCAAGGGCTGTTAACAGGATGTACACCTCCTTCCTCCTGTCTCTCCACAAAGGAGAGGGGGTAGGATTACAGGCGCTCAGGCTCCCTCCGTCAAGGCGGTCATGGAGAATGGGGCGGGCTGCCGATCAGCCCCCATGCCGGGATATTCACCACAGTAGTGGGAGCAGCAGGAAACAGATAAGAGGGGGCTGGTGCACTCACACCCTGCTTGGGGGGCTGCCTGGGGGAGGGGGGAAGCCGTGGGGACAGAACACTGGGTAAGGGGACTTTCCTTCCACCCAGCAGAGGGGTCTGGATCAGGGTCTGCAGAGTAGAACTTTCTGCAGAGTTTTGCACCGAGTAGTAACAGTGCCTCTGTTCTCCGCTCACTGCCCTCCAGATGTTTTCCCCACTCCCAGCCGGCCCTCTCCAGATGCTTTCCCCACTCCCAGCCGGCCCTCTCCAGATGTTTTCCCCACTCCCAGCCGGCCCTCTCCAGATGTTTTCCCCACTCCCAGCCGGCCCTCTCCAGATGCTTCCCCCACCCCCAGCCTGCCCTCTCCAGATGCTTTCCCCACCCCCAGCCGGCCCTCTCCAGATGCTTTCCCCACCCCCAGCCGGCCCTCTCCAGATGTCTCCCCCATGCCCACCCTGCCAGGAAATGACACTTCGAGCTTGGGGTACAACCAGACAGCTCCTCCCCAAGCCCCTGGAGGGGTGCAGAAAGGTACAGCTGGAAGAAGGTACCCCTTTTCGCTTGCACTGGGACGGCCTCTCCTGTTCGGAGGAGGGCCTTCCCAGTCCATTGGACCGGCACGCGCTCTCGCTGCCTGCCACGCTTTGCAGGCCGGCCCCTGCGAGACCAGATCCAGGGGCTGTGCGCGCACACGTCCGCGAAATGACAAAAGGGCAAACCTGTTTTCATCCGAGGCAATCCCAGCCTTGGGATAAGCAGGCCAGCTGTGCAACCAACTTGCTTTTCTCTTATTTTGCGATCGCTACTTCTGCTAGTTTCAGGGAGCTGCGAGTCTGCAGCCTTTTGCCCTTCTGACGACTCTGAGATTGCAGCTGGCCTCGACTCTACCAGAACCTGCTTTAAGAAACAAACCAGGAGCTGATTTTGAGATCCAAATTCTGCAGCTTTGCTGCACTTCCAGAGAATTACTGCACGGTCCTGCCAGCAGCCAATGGAAATCTGCCCCCCGGGAGTTAGTTTTGCTGTAGGAGTGAGGGGGGAACCGCCTTAACCCCCCCCTCCACCATTTTCTGCAATGGGGCGCTGTTTTTTGGATGCCGCTGCCGCTTGCCTGAAGCAAATGATGGGCTAGCTCTTGCCTTCGAACGAGCCCCTGGCCCTGTTCGTCAGCGCTTTCTCCCCCATCCTCCTAAGGGCACCCGCTTGACAAAGCGGGCTGCTGGAACTGCGGACGGCCGCTGGGTGAGCCGCTCGGAGCCCTTGCTTCGACATCCTCCAACCCAAACGCAAGCCGGTCCGCCTTCGGAGGGGCTCTGGGTGCCCCGCATGCATGTGGAGGCTTGTCCGGCAGACCCGGACCTGGCTCACCCTTGGGAGGAAGCCCAGGGCCGCTCCGGGGCCCTGAAGAGCGCACTTGCCTGTTCCCCCGCCCACAGAGCCGACGAAGCAGGAGAGCCGGGGCATCATCATCGTGGCGGTCATCGTGTGCATCCTGGTGCTGTCCATCCTGGGCGCGGTCCTGTACTTCCTGCACAAGAAGGGGAGGCTCCCCTGCGGGCGCTCCGGCAAGCAGGAGATGTAAGCACCGCCATCGGCCCGCCTCGCTCGGCTGCCCCCCTCCTCCCCATGCCAGAGGCCCCCCCCCGCCACGCTTGCCCCATCTCGTTGCACTGAGCAGCTGGCTTGTCCTGGTCAGGAGGGTGGGAGGCTGGAGCTGCTGCTGTCCGCTGGGCCCCAAGCACCCCCCTTGGGCTCAGAGGGCTGCAGAGGAAGGCAGTTCTGCTGGTGCCTGACGGCTGAGCCCTCGTGGCCAGGCTGGCCGGAGATCGTGGGAGGCTGGGACAGGCAGACCCGCAGGTGCCCAACCTGGCGTCCTCCAGATGCAGGCTGGGGACACGGGCCTGTGGCCCCAGGTCACCCGAGAGGAGGCCTGGGTGGGAAGGCAGCTAGGCACCCCCACTCCTTGCTCCGCTGGTGCAAAGGCATCCTGAGGGCACCTGGGGCCAGTTCGCGGGGCAGCCGCTGGTGTCCCAGAGCCTTCCTGTTTCAGCCCACGGCATGCTCGATTCCTGGCTGCCTGCAGGCTCTGCTGGGCGCAGCCCAGTGGACCGATCCGGCCCTGGACAGCCCAGACAGAGCTCAGTCTAGGCTTCCCCGGAACGCAGGCTGAGACCAGGGCTGCCCCTCAGCACGAACCTTTCGCAAGGCCGTGCCGATTCCAGCTCCCCCGAGCAGGGAGGGGGCAGCCGGCCGGTGACCCGCTGCATCGCGCCTCTGGCCCCCGGGGAGCCCACTCAACCTATCTCGATTCTGTCGCCCTCCGTCCTCCCTAGCACGAGGCCCGAAGCACATAAAGACGAGATTGTAGTTGAAGTTAAGTCAGATAAGCTTCCTGAAGAGGCGATGCTGCTGCAGGGGGCCAGCGGTGAGAAGAGATCAGCGGGTGACCAGGTAGGATGGAGGATGGCTAAGAGGAACCTGCTCACGTGATTTCGCTCGCTCGGGTTTAATGCCTCCAGGCAGTAAAGTGGCCCGTCCCCCCTTCTCGCCTCGCACCGAGGGTTAAATCGGAGGACAGACCGGCCTGTGGGATGGACTGTCGCAGGCTGTCCCTTCCCTCCTCTCCCAGCACAATGCCCAGGGGCCCAGTTTGAGGGGCCCAGTTTGAGGCTGCTAATGCTTGCCTGGAGCATCACAAGTCCCTGCAGCTCCTGCTCGCCTTGTTCACGGCCCGTTTGGCCGGATGCAGAGGCAGCGGACGATCCTGCGCTCGCCGGCCGCCTGGGCCGTCTCCCTCTGCTCCGTGCTGCCCCCGCCCGGCATTTGCGCCACGCAGAGTCGCACGACCATGCTCTGCATTCATTCATGCTCAGCCCCCCGTGCCAGCATCTCGGCGGCTTTCCATGCTCCATGTGGGCGGCAGGCACGTGGCTGCAGGCCCTCGGCTTCCCCCCACCCGCGCTTGTGTTCCTGTGCATCTTCAGTGCTCCCTCGACGGCTGTCTGGCCTTCTGGAGCAAAGCCACGCTCATTCTCCGTGGCTCACTCGGAGGAGTCCCGGGTGTGCCACGAGTCCAAACCGGTGTGCAGCATGTGTTTTCACCCCCCCCCCCCAGGCTTTCGCTCACATCCACACGTCCCCCAACTCCCTGCTGTCCAGTAATGCAGTAGCAAAACTTGAACCTGGCTGCAGCGCTCAGCATCGCTGCTTTCCCAGCGGCTTCACATCAAAAAGTAACGCTGCTTCTTTTGCTGCCTTAAAAGGGAGAGAAATACATCGATCTGAGAAACTGAGGACAGAGCAAGAGCGAGCGCTGTACACATTTACTTTTGAGATTCCTCCTGTTCCTTCGGAAAGCCTTCTTCCCTTGCTCCCTGGCCAGAGTCTTTCAAACGCACAGCAGTGAATGCACCAGACCGCAGTGAAGAACACTTTGCAGCTCACCCCGACGGCTTTGAAGGATGACAAGACTAGCCAAGGCAGTCTAGCGCTCTCTTCTTGCAGGCCAAAAAAGGAAAGACTTTTTGGAACGTTTTGGACCTCTGTGTGAACCAGCCACTGGGTAGGGAAACCCGGGCTTTACACAGTACATGTAGTGTTTTCTCGGGCCCCATTTTAGAGAAAAAATGCACCCATTGTTTGACTAGCCACTTAAGGGCTTGCCAAGCAGGCCAAGGGAGAGCAAAGCAGCTCTTTTTGTCATTAAGGCTGAACGGGACTGTAACTCCTATATTAGCAGGATTGGAGCTTAGCTAAACGAGCATTTGGTTTCCACGAAGACCAATTCCGGGCTGTAGGATTGTTGCAACCAGTTTTCCCAGCTCTGTTCCTGCTCTGCACAGAAAAAGTTTTGAGGAAGCACTGCTCAAGGGTCTAGTCCTCAAGGATGCAAGGGTAGCAGCTTATGGAAGTCTGAGGAAGTAAGTTCCCCTAAAGAGTATGGGGCTTACTGCTCAAAGGCATAGGATCATTTTGTGCAGCGAAAAATTGCGTCTGCACTTCAGAAGTTACAATAGAAATAAGGCCTCTTGTACAAAATGTATAGTCTTGTGTTTATACCTAAGGATTTAGGCAATTCTCTTCCACCACCAAAAGACTGCTTCCTGTAGTTCCTGTGTAAACCTAATCTAGCTGAGACATTCGCAAGTCTCTGGGAAACTTGCCTGTAATCAGGCAATTTCTGCATTTTCCTCTGGAATTCTTTTGCTTCCAGTAGCTGGAAGAAGGCTAATGCTGGAACAGCAGCATCAGGGGAAAAGGGAAGGACCGGGCGCCAGATAGCCTTCAAAGGGGAGTTGCCAATGGGTCTCCCAGCCTCAAGTCCAGGGCCTTCTCCATCACGGTGGCCCAGTGCTTAAAGATGCTTTTCATCATCCTCCACCCCATTCATAAAGGGCCATTACTCCAAATTGCGTTGCAAGCACCTGCTTACATAAAGCATTTTTCTTTCTCAGGGGTTTGGTTTCCCCTTTTCAAAGCAGAGAATGGCCTTTAACACAGAGAGTGAGCAAAAGGGTTAAGACTTTGCTTTAGGAACACGGGCTCTTTTTACTGGTTAAAAGTACAAACTCGTTAACCAAAAACGGGAGAGAAGGGACTGTTTGTGCTTTACTTGTAAGCTAGAAAATTATCAAGACAAAGCTTTTGTTATATATATTTTTGTTGATGTGTGTGTAAATTTAAGAGTGTCTGAGTTGCAGGGTTTTTATATATTATATATATATATGAAAAATTAAAAGCTAAAAAAGTATTCAGGAATTGACTCTTTACTTGGCAATTATGAAGTACGGGAGCAATTGGTTTTTCACAGGAAATGCGATCTGTTAGGCTTTTTTTCTTGAACATTATATTTTTCTGTGGGAATCCACCCCAGAGGTGCTTTTGGCAGTTTTCCAAAGTGGTTGCAACTTGAGCTGTGTCATTTCCAAATGACACATTGTTTGGCAAAGCAGTAACCTTAAATCTGCATTGCATAACTTGGGTTCCATTTTAGATGGCTAAAAACAGTTGCTAAGGGTACTGTCCTTTGGAAGTTTAGAGTTGTAGTCCTTTTTTTTGGTCTGAACTTGCATAGAACTGTGCCTCACGAGGCTAAGTAAAAAAAAAAAAAAAAGAGTGGGAGTAAATGGGTGTTTTTACCCTCTTTTGAAAAATCAATATACCTCAATGCTAGCATAAAACAACTTCTGTCCTGAATCGAAGAATTTACGGATGTGTAATTTCATTTAGCCATCAGTGCATATTTGAGTAATGACTATAGAATACACGAAGAGCCAAGAAAATAATAATGTGTAATTTTTTCATGCCACCAAACAAGGCAATGAGGAAAAGCTGTTCTTTACATCCCCAGAGTATTGACAGACGGCCTGGTCTACCTTGGGATGCAAAACTTCTTTTCAGTCCAAGGCTTAAATTACATTTCGGAGGCATTCTCTGGCCTGAATCCTTTGGTGGGTGAAGCTGAGAGCAAAAGGGACGGGGACAAGAATGTTAGCATAGTCCAGCTGGACATGGCAATATTTCAGAATGAGAAATGCCAAGCTTTGCTACAGGCAAGAGACATTAATTGTGCATTACAGGGTTCGGCTGGAAAACTTGCTGCCTTAGATACAAGTGCACATCACACCTGAAGCTGCTGCAAATGAGTCGAAAGGGCTCGAGACTTCTTATTCTTTGTGTAGCTGAACAGCACCGCATGCTACCTGTCTGCAGGTGCGTTACCTGAATGGTGGAATGGAAACTGGGGGAATGGAAGGAATTGCTACGGAAATGCAACATGGCTTATCGCAGGCAGAAAGTCCAGAGAACAGAAATCCTCTGGGGGATTTCTGACTCTACTGTGCATGGGTGCATTGGATTGAGGCTCTTGCCTCGCCTGCTGTTGACTCCCCACAAGCCACATGTGCTGGAAAAAAGATGATACTCTTCCATGGCAGATCAGGCACCTTGGTAAACTGGCCAGGTCTTGTAACTGAGAAAAAGACCATCAGGTCAGATTCTGGAAACTTTTCCCGAGTTCCAGCTGCTAGACATAGCAGACTGGTGGTGACGGGGTGATAAAAGCCGCAATGGCAGGTCCACCTGCTCTCGAACTTGTGGGCGCTTTTGCCCATAAGCACCTTCATGAACGCCCGGTGCTGCCCCACCTCCTCTATCTGGCAGATGCAGAGCGCGGGTGTATTTCCACCACCGCAGAAAGTACTTTCCCCCTCTGCATGCTATCTAGTTACGGACTTTCTCTCACAGTGTGTTGTGATGTTCATGCTCACAGCAAGGGTGGACAAAGTCCATGGCTTGATCTAGGGGTTTGGGGTGGTCTGTAAACCAGCCATCCACACTCGCCAGCTTCAGATGTGGCACCATGCGCCCGGGGAGGGGGGGAGGCAATTTTGTCACCAGGCTGCACATCTGTGAAGGGAAAGTAAGTCTCTCTGGAACATGGATCCCTCCGTGAGAGCAATTCTTGCTGGTGTCGACTCGGTCATTGGTTGGACCTCACGAAGGCACACCTGCTAGAGAAGCCATATCAGCTTGTGGAAGTGCAGTAAATAGTGTTTCATGACACCTTCAAGGCTTATCTTGAAAAGGTTTTGTGGATTCTGTGTACTTCATGTGTATGAAGCATTAGACAAACACAGATTAAGACTTCATATGCCAGATCAAGTGGAGCATACCAGAATAAAAGTGCCCAAAGACTGCTGACTGAGATGTTCAGCTTTGTTAAAGAAGCAGGAGTCGGATGAGGCCAGAGGCAATGAGCTTCAGAACTCTGGGAATGTGTTTGCATGAAAATTTGCAGCTCTGTTGAACAGTTTGACAAAAGCTGTAACGGGTGATGACAAGAACAGTCCTCTGGTAAACACCACTGGGCAGAGAGCACAGAAAGAGTCATTTGAGTTGTTACGAACAATTGCTCCAGGTCCTAATATCCTTGGAAGAGGCTGAAGCAAAAGATAATGCTAAGAATTATGCATTTCTGTGCTTGCTCGGGGTAAGCCACTGGAGCTGAAGGCAGGCTGTGACATCTTTGTGAGACTTGCTGAAAGGCAAGGTTAGACAGAGTGTAGATCTGAGAGATTACAAAGCTGCCTTCCAAGAACAGCATGAGTGATCTTGCAACTTTTGATGAATGGGTAGAAACTGGCATGTTAGACACAGCTTGCGATCTCCAACGGGGTAGCAGTGCCGCAACTCTCCTGCATCCACACACACACAAACACACGTACGTGAGGACTTGGCCCTGCATTTCCTTCATTCTTCTACTGAAGAACAAGCTGTGATTGATAGCACGGCATTCCACGGAGGCGGCAAACTGCAACCACAAACAGTACCAGGAAGAGGAATGCCTCCCTTTTAAATACGCAGAGGAAACCGGAGTTAACGGGGTATTTGGCACATGAGATCATCAACAAATCCCGCGGACGACCACAGTGACGAATGCTACCAGCTGCTCCTTGTCAAGCAGTCCATTGACACAGGAGGCTGAAGTGTCGCTGTGCTGACGACAGGCCACATAATGATTAGGATTAATTTCATCAAACTGGAAAGAAAAGACACCACACTGGTCTCAGTCACAAGGCCCAGAAGCGATTCGCTCCCAATCCAGAAGGGTGCCTTCCTCCGTTATGCCCACAAGCATCCGGCTCTGTTAGCACAGGTCAGAGAAGGGAACACAATGCCCATCACTCGCCGCTTTGTTACACTAGCTAGGACTAGCGGGAGCTTTTGCAGGGCCACAGGGAGGTGTCGGGGCTGTCGTAACCAAGCGTCCCCCAGACTGCTGCACCTCTCGTACAACCGACCTTAAACAAATACTCGGTAAACAAGGAAAACCCTCAAGAGGCAGCGGTGCAACTTGCGAGGGATGCGAGCCAAAGAGCCGACGGAGGAAGGGTCAGCTTCGTGCCACCACGGGTCTGGGCTGCCAGCTCTGCCCTCCCCAGGAAAAGGAAGCCCAGCTTTGCGGGAGCTGCAATGGACACAACACAAGCAATGTGCTACAACAAAGAAATTTATTTAAAAATAAAACTTTGTTTTTGTTTTTCCTTTTGCTGACACACATGAAATACCCCAAACCCTCCCACCCTGTCCCCACAAGCTCTTGAGTGGGCAGCTTACAAGAACAAAAAGTAAAAAATAAATAACATTAGTATAATCTCTAAAACATTAACAATGCTTTTGCAGAACAAAATGAGGACTTTAGACCAAATGAACCTTAAAGCTCGGCTATTCTGTAAGAATATTTACCTTCTGTTCTTACTCTTTACAGGTCTTGAAGGATTAAATACTGCTAATATATTTTATATTAATGACATTATTATAACCTTTAAAATAGTCAGTGAAATTTTCAACACTGATATTGTTTCTCGACGTTCAGGAGAAATAAAGCTACTCATTAACCCCTCGTTCCCACCCAAAGGTAACTTATAAGGTTTAGCATTTCAGTCTTCATATCCCCCACCCCTGGGCTCTTTGCCATTTTAGTCACAAGAACAGCAGTTCTTCATGGCGGGGGCTAAAATAGCTCCCCACGGCAAACTACCCTGCTCCGAAAGTGGCTGCAAGGAAATGGCATTCGTAACACCACACACTAATTCCCCAAATGCAGTTGTAAACTGTGTAATACAGTTTACAGCTGTATGTACTGAGGAGGCAGCGGCTGTGACGAGAGGGGACCTCTCTCCGAAAGCTGAGCGGGCACCGAGCAAAATCCCCCGGAAGCTCCTTGCGCAGCGGTGCACCCACACAGCGAGGACGTTAAAGGGACTCGCAAGAGCACGCTGCACCAGAACTCCTGGTGGACTGATGCCCATGGCACTTGCAGGCCGAGGAACATGAGATGGCAGGAAACCTGGCACTAGATGGATCCCACAGGGGCCTGGGGGTTCAGCTGTATTCTGCTTCCCGTCTTATGCCATGTTTGTGCATCGTTTGTTCACTGCGTCTGAACGGGTTGCTTGGGACAGGGTGCCCTGGGGGCGGGCAGGGCCGATGGCCTCTGTGACCACCTGGCTGCATTAAAATCCTGCATCGGAGTCGCAGTGCCTTCAAGTCAAAGCTGAGGGTAGAAAGCGACACTGACAACTCACGGTTAGTAAGAGGGCGAGGGCCGGAGAGCTCGCTGGGGCCACACTGCTACATACCCCCATGCGAGCTACGGGGCGACACGTCTCCTTCCAAGCTGCTGGACATACGGAGCAACTTCATGGCTTTCCCGTCAAGTTTCAAATCTGCCTCTTCTTCCGATTCAAGCTTGGAGATACAGCACCTCCCCTAACAAAAGGCACTATACGTTTGGCGTTTACATAAAACAAGTCAACCTTTCCAGATTAAGAGACACAGAGAAAAATGCGTTAAGGTCAAACTTCAAAAGCAGCAAGGGAGCACTCCCGGAAGCGTTCTCGCTCTGCCTCCCGTGCTTGCAGACGAAGACATTCACGTGGTTCGAGGACAGAAGAGCCACTTAAAAACATTTCCTCATTTCAATTTAAGACACAAGTAGATAAAAAAGGACACATGCAGAAGGGTCCTGTCAGCTACACATGCTACAAAGCTCACCCTTGTGTACGGAACACGGCGGAATGGTCCCCACAGGCCCCACGCGGCACTGCCGGGGTGTCTGGAGCATCCTGCACACGGCTCATCTGCAGAGGCAGGCTGCCACCGCCGCCGCTGCTGCTGCCGCCTTGTGCAGGGCGGGGCGGGGCGGGGGGCTGTCTTGAGCTGGCGGGCCTTTCAGGCAGGCTGCCAAATTCCCCAGGGCGATCCCGACAGCACTTCCGGCTGAGTGGGAAAGCCGGCTTCGCAAAGAAGCAATCCTCGGCGGGCTGGTCACCGAGCCGGCACGGAGTTCGTGGCCTCCTTGGGGCAGCGTATCAACTAGAGGCACCCACCGTCCTCCACGGGCCACCTGACGTTGGAGGAGCTGCCTGGCTACAGCCGCCTGCCTCGCAGTTGCTCTTGAGAGAGCAGAGCACCTTCCTTCCCCTGTTCCTAAATGCCGCCAGCACCTCCTGGAACTGTGAAATACATTCTGGCTGAGACCCGCTAGATTAAGCATCTTCACAGTGTTTCTCATGAAAGCAGCAATACCAGACCGACTTGGCCACTGTCTGGACCCGTGGACGCCTGGAGGGGTTGGGCTCAAGCAGACGGCCTTCTCTCAGCAGCAGGAACACAGACAAGGGCCCCAGCTGGCCAAGCCTGTGCCTCTGCCGCTACCCCCTTGCCGCCAACGTCCCCCATGGTCTTCAGGCCTTCGCAGTCCCTCGTGCAAGCAGCACTGCTGGCACTGAAAAGCCGGGCCAACAGGATGTCAACAAGGGTACCTGTGCAGACAGGTAATGTCTCTGGCACGCTGCTGTTCTTTCCCAGGGATCCAAGCGCTTGAGTACAGGTAAAGCTGAAGATTTAGAGAAAAATGTATGCTTGGATAAGCCCAGTCGCTCCCCCTTGAGCCCCATCCTCTGGTGAAAAGTCTTCATATCCTTAGTTAAGAGCAGAGGGACTGGTACTGTTTAAAAGGGCAACTCCAGGGAAGACCAAACATGCAACACAGTTCGTGATACAAATCTCCATGTCACGGTTAATGCTGTAATTGTGCAGACGGCTGTGAAAGCCTGGAAGGTGAATGGAAAGGGGGACGTGTCCTCGGAAGAAAAGCCGCCGGCTGCCCGTTAGGCAGGACTGTGGCAGTCAAAACCCAAATGCATTTCTTCCTGGAACTCACATCCAACTGCCACAAACCCTGCGCGCTTAAAATGTAAACAAGGACATTGTTAAATCAGCATCTTTCAAAAGCAACGCTGACCTCTTTCTTTCCCCCCATACACAGTTTCTTCTGACTGGCAAAGGATCTGTGTGTGTGTATGCGTGTGTGTTTGTTTTCCTGATGCATGAGGAGGGAGAGACAAAAATCCTCAACTTTATCATTTCACAACAGCCCTGCAGAACGTTGCTCTATTTTTACTGCTGAGCTGGTAAAAGGTTTCCATGAACACTTCCTTATAGAAATGTGCGAGTTAAGCTCCCATCTGCAGGCAGCTCTCCAGTGAGACAGCGGCTTGGATGTGATGGACACACAGTGTCTAGTTGCACACCAGGACAACAGAGCATGTTGACCAGCAACTGTGTCGGGAGTGCAGGCAGAGCTGCTCCCTTCCACGACAGTCTGGATCACAGAAACGCAGGGCCAGAAATCTGAACGGCGTCTGACCACCCCCAGCACAGCCGAGAAGTCCAGCATCTGCCGTGCCTTGGAATCCAGTGTGTGGCAAGCGATGCCAGCGTGCGAGGGAAGCGGCTTGACCCACAGCGTAAAAGAGCTGGATGTGATTGCACACACAAGAGGGGAGCAAACAGATTTGGGAGAGAAAGGGAGAGGAGGTCGGAGCAGAAGGGATGCGATCCAAACCTCTCCCTTAGCCAGGAACCTGCACCCAGCAGCAAGGGGTCCAAAAGCCTGAGCCAGAACGTACAGCAGCAAAGGAGCCCAAATCTAGTACCCTGAACCACGGGAGGGCACACCATGAGCGATGCGGAGATGCCGTTCAACACACCGGCATCCCGTCTGAATTCACAGCAAAAGACAAACGCCCCAGCCCTCCCCGCCTTGCTCGCCAGCAGTGGAACCCACCGAGCCATCTTTCAAAAGCCATACATCAGTTCTCCCTAAGTAGAAAGTGCGGGGCAGGGGGAGCAAAGAAGAGGATGCCGAGAAGTCACACAGACCGTCAGGGACACGCTCATCCGCTCCATTCCGTCCCGCTCACTCTGAAACCTGGAGTTGCATAAAACCCTGATGACCGATTTTCTGCAGAGGCAGGCCTGGCTGCACAGGAAGGTCTCTCAAGGAGCCCGCTATCTCCTCTAGGCAGGAGCTGGGCAGGAGACCGCCCAGGCAGGTTGATGCGCAGGGGTGTCCCAGGCAGGGCCGGGAGTGTGCTATGTGGCCACGTGGGCAGGGGAGGAGATGGAGACGAACTCTCGGAGAATATTTTTGGCCATGTCGATATTGTTATGGGCGATCACGAGCGCTTTCTGGATGTCCTGATATGAGTAGCCCTGGCTCATGAGGCTCTCGATCTCGCTGGAGAGCTGCAGAGGGGCAGCTGAGACTGGCCCCGCTCCGCCACCTTGAAGGCAGCCACCCGCTTTCCGTTCAGAGTTAATCCTCCGCGGCAGAGGCTTTGGTGGCCTCTCGGGAACCTGGGAGCCATCCGAGAGAGCTGGAAGAAGAAAGAACCACGTGATCTGGGGGGAAAGGGCAACCTTTTCTTAAAAAACAGATGGAAATCCAACAGGGCCTTTTTTTAGAAGACATCAGGTCCATAACTTTGCAACAGTATTCCATAGTTAGAAATGAAATCAGTGCAAGTTTGTCGGAAGATCTGCAACTGCTCATGAGAGACATTCTACTCGGCCACCGAAATCCACCGTCCGTCTCCCCTGACACGAAGGGGCCAAGATGGCTACCCTTTCAGATGAGGCCACATCATATCCAGCACACTTGTGCCCAGCAGAAGCTTCTTGCATACTACGGGACTTGTGAGAAATGTACGGCAGGCGCCAGAAAAGGAACAGCTCAAAGCCGCTCTGTCTGCCCATTCCTCACCTGGCTTAACAGCAACAAAGAACGTGTGCGAGCGAGCCGGGCACAAAAGGCTAGGGACTTACTTGTTCAGACCAGGAATTTGACCGGCAGGACTGCCAGGTGAAAATTCCCGATTTCCTTTCAGGAAAATGCAGAGAGGAGCTAGTTAACCACGCTACCCATCCCTGCCTGCTGTTTGCAGGCCGCGAAAAAGACAGGGCTGGCTCCTACAGGAGAGCCACTGAGCCAGGCCCATCCAGGCTCACATGAGAGATCCACGAGAGATCCACCAGCAGGGCACAAGCACACCCTTCCGCCCATGCTCCCCAGCACTGGCATACACAGCCACACTGCCTCTGCCACTGGAGGCTCCAGACGGCCATGAAAAGAGGCAGCCACCACCAGGCTTGCGCTTTGCGAATGCCGCACTGTGAGGAGGCAAGAACAGGCACCTGCTAGGACATCCCCGTCCAGAGAGGCACGGCTGAAGGCAGAGGTCGCGTTGGAGATGTCGGACAGCGTGCGGCGTGCCGTGGCATTGTGGACGGCTGGCCTGGGCACATCGTAGCCGTCCTCCTCGTTCTCTGACTCCTCGGGTCCATTGGTGATGCTGGCCGCAGCTACATCACCCCCATCTTAAAACCAATGAAAAGGAGCACACCGTTACCGCCAGCCCTGCTTCCTGCAGACATATTCAAAGGGGAGGCGTTTCAAAGGGGAACACCAACAGACAAAGCCCCAGACTGGAGGCAGTGGCACAGGAATTGGCGGTGCCCCGGACAGCAAGCAGCAGGCCAGCCGAGGTTTCCCAAATCTCGCACCTCTGGAAGCAGCTGGGAATCCCCCCCCTCCTCCCGGACTTCTCCTGTTCAGAGTTCTCGACTGACACCATGGCTTCTTCCTTCCACCTGGAGCAGGAATCCCATCAGTCAAAGGAAAGGCTTGGCAGGAAGATTAACCGCAGTTTGTCAATGGCCATTCCTCTCCGCAGGAAACTTACCAGGAATGCTGGCACCCTCAGAAGTGGCAGGCACTGCTTGCGTGTGGATGTTGAACATTGCTTCATAGGTGCACCCGTCCAGGTCTTGGTCACACTCCAACACGCTGCGCAAAGAGAAAGGAAGGAGCGTTCTAGGCAGGAACTGGGCTGGCTCTGACAGCAGCAGCAGCAGGTAAAGGACTTCCCAGGCGAAAGACCCAGTGCACATATCAGGACAATCCACGGGTTGCTGAGGCTGGGTGTGAGCGAGCATGTTCCCCCTCGACCACAGAAACATACCCCCCTCAGAAGCACCACGAGAGCGGCGACCATCCTGCCAGAATAACCCCCTTGCCCTGAACTGGTGGGTTGCCTCACCGTGAACTCTGGCTCACTTCCAAGGGCAACTTGGCCTCGGGCTTTTGTCCAACGGGGCCAGGCGGCACGAGGGGCAGGGAAGACGGAGACATGTACTCCGTGTCTTCATCGTTTTCAGAGTGTTCTCCCGGTAGCAGCTTTGGCGCAAGCGTTGGCCTGGCATGTCAGAAAGGAGAAAGCAAAGGCTCACAGTCAAGCAGGAAAATCCAGGGAAGTCGAAAGAGCTACCAGAAGCCGCCAGCCTTGAAACAAGGGGCTACATAGGCTTTCAATTTGGGCATCAGATCGGGGGGATGCTGCGCAGCATCTTCTGCACCGCCTTTGCATTTGGAGCAGGTGCCCACATTCACCCGGAAGCAGCGGGTGGGATGCACTTTAATCTTCGATGAGATCTGCCTTTCAGGAGCCCTTGGTGCCTCCCCCCCTCCACAACACCGCATTCAGATAGTTTGTCAGGTGGTGCTTCTGGGGGCTCCCAGCACTTTTAATGGGTTTTCTGAAGTAAAATCACTCAAAGCAGATTTTCCACATCAAAAGACGTGAATGCAGCAATCCCGCCCAACAGAAGCAGGCCGATCTAAATAATCCATCGCGATCCGTGCAGTTTAGCATCTGAGCGAGAGTCACCGTCCGATGCAAAGGAAAGGCATGCTCAAGCTAGCAAGCAAACAGGAAACGACCCAGAGAAATGCAGCCACTGTGGAATAATGGTGTGAGTCCAGCCTACGCCAGCTGCCATTCTGACAATGTCTGTCAGCAAGCCCGCTGACCACAGAAGCACATACCTTACAGCAAGGGAATAGATGGCGTTGGCAGAAGAGGAAGGCTTTATCTTAGAGTGCTCACTGTCCAAGACAGTTGGGACTCCACCGGGCTGGTTCTGCAAGGAAACATGACAAACGCTGCTGCTGGGAAACAGTTTGAGAAAGAGAAAAAACACCCTCACGAAGTCCGTATTGATCATCATCTTGTAAGAAGGGGTTTCGAAGCATTACTGCTTGCCCAGTTCAAGAAACTGGATGTCAGCAAGAAGAACTGACTGGCATCAAGCACATTTGTTCTGCGCTCTCCGAAGAGCATCCCCTGGGAAATGTGCTTGGAGGAAAAATACAACTGAGCCGATATGCAGCGGATCCTGCTCAGAACTGCCGGCTCAGGGTTCAAATGCCGTCAGTAGCAACACCGGCCACAGGGGTGTTGTGCACGGCCTCTGGCGGCAGCTGCCAGAAAGGGTGGACGTGGGTGTCCGGGAGAAGGCAATGCGAAATTACCCTTTCTAACCAGCCTCCCCTTCAAGAATTCTAATGCCCCCGATTTACAGGAGTTTCATCCCGTGGATCAAGCCGTTTGATGTGAAATCCGACAGGCCAATCAATTCACGGCCCCCTCTGTGTCTGTGCAGAGGGCAAATGTGCATGGCAGCAGCACCATGTGGGACATGAGTATGCGCCAGTTCTGAGCGGGTCAGATCACACATATTAGCATCTGCGGCCAGAACCACCACACATTATATTGCCTATCTGCGGGGGGGGGGGAATACACTCCCTCCCCCACAGAGAGGGAAGAAGAGCCTGTTGAGTGTGGGACCCAGGTCCCGGGCAACTGCATCTCCTCCAGGTCTCACTAGGTCAAAGGGAGAAGCGTTGCCCTAATGCCCAGTTCCGGGGATAAACAACTGAGGAACTGGAATAGCTGCCTGCCACCTCTGCTTGGTGATGCCTGAAACCAGAGTGCTGGGTTTGGAGCAGGGCATTCCTGGGGTGTTTTAAAAAGGGGCGGTGTGAACAGGCAGGGCGCTTGTTCCCCCAAGGCCATGCCAATTTCTGGGCTGTTTACCCTGGGAACTGGTCATTATCTATAAAAAGAACTGTTACCGCTTAACGAATTACAAACAAGTACGTGTGTGTACAAGGAAGGGAAGGGTGTTGGTGTGAGGCACACTCACCACGGCGGTGTCCAGGCTCAGAGGGGAAGTGAGCGAGAAGGGGAGCGAGTGCCGATTTGTCAGCTCCCGGCCCGGCCAAGGTTCGCCGCTAGAACCAGGAGCTGCAGCTGGCGTTTTAGGAATCGGCCGTGCTGCCCAGAGCTCCCCCTGGCGGTTACAGGGCACGGAAGGCAGCTTGTCCCTGGAGGGGCAATCTCCTGGGGTGCAGGGCAGGGGCCGTCTCTGAGGTCGATGCTCGGTCACGATGGAAGGCGGCCTGTCCGGAGGCGGGGGCGGCGGAAGATCTCGATGTGTTGGCGGGATTGGCAAAGGCTTGTCTTTGTGAAGGGAACTAGGAGTAGCCTGCAAGACAAGACAATGGCACACCTTCGAAGCCGCATCTGGCCCCAGAATCAGAGCCCTGGCCCGACAACACTTGATGCCGGGGCTGAAGTTCTATTCGAGACAGGGAAAGCTCAGAAAGAGAGCATCCGAGGCCCGGTGCGGGGCAGTCAAACGCGACTGAGCAAACGTGACTGAGTGAGGCACCTCCCCTCGTAAGGGGCGACCTGGCCGACAAGCCACCCTCAGCCAGATAATGCCTGGATGTTTAGCCCAGGCTGAGGTTTGGTATCATGTCCCTGTACAAACACCTCTGTGTATAAATGAAGAAAGGGTTCATCAGCAAAAGAGCGGAGGACAGAGGATTCCCAGGCAAACTGGAATCTCCTTGGACAACGGCAGTTTTCCCCATTTTCATCGCTGTGCGGGTGGGGGGGGCGGAGGGGGAGTGTGCGACAGTGCACGCTTGTGTACCTTGGAGGTAGTCCCTGGGCTTGAGGCCCCAGGTGGGTTGGACACTCGCTGCTGCAGAAGGTCTAGTCGGGGGGGCACCGGGGGGAGCGACGCCTGCGGAGCCATCGAAAATGGGGAAGGAGGGCGCTCTACCTGCACGGAGGCGAAATGAAACCCCTCTTAAAACCCCTTTAACCCAATGTAAGCCCCTTCCCACCGCCTTTCATTAGCAATGCTTAAGAATCTACGCCTGTGAAGTGAGTGCACATACAGGCCTCAAGCTTCCAACAGGCCTGGCAGTTTGCCCCCGAAGGACATGCTCCAAGACCAAGCGGCCTGGTGGGCAGATTCACTGGCACTGGTCCTGCACGAACTGTTTTTAAAAGCCACTGGGTGGCTGGCCCTGCCGTTTTGAGTGCCTTGAGCCTGCCGAGGACCCAGCAGTCGGGCAGAAAACTCACAGGTGGTCTGCGCAAGACAAGGTCATCATAGAAAGCACTGATCTTCTCCCAACAAAGCAGACAGCAAGAAGGCCCAAACGCCACTCTTCAGTGCTAATGTGCACACTCAATTACAGAGTCACCTTAATGAGGGCCAGGTCCTAACTCAACCCACACGGCAGTATTTAGTGGAGGCCAACGAACACCTGCTCATTTTTTACAGATGACTTTTCAGACCACAAAGAACACGAAGGACAAGTTTGTTTATATTGTTATACACATGCATATGCGCTTTACGGTGCTAATTCGATCCAATCAAGCTGGTGTGGACATCTGGATGCAGCCAGAAAGTGCGAGGCACGGGTGGGTGACTTGCCACCCTCCAGACATCCTGGCCTACGAGTCACCCAGCCCCATTGCCAGGGGAACGTCAAGCATGCGCAGTGCATGGCCTGAGGGCACACGAAGCAACGACCCCGCTGAGGCGCAGCATCCCCGGGACGGGTCGGTGCCTGGGTGGGAGACCACTGGGGAACCCTGGGACCGTTGAGCCCAGGTGTGATGCACAGGGAGATTACCTTCGCGCCCGCCAGCTCTTTCATCATGAAGAGCGACTCGTCTGCTCTCTCGTCGTCGTCGTCGTCGTAGTTGGGAGAGGGGGCTCCCTCGGCACCTTGCCGCAGCAACCCTCCCCCACCTCTGGGATCGAAGGGGTCCACCACGATGGGCTCCGTGCCTTTGATTTCGCATCGGCAGAACGGACAACCCTGCCCTTCTGATTCCTGCAGGAAAATGCAGGGAGGGAGACTAGTTAGAAGAACGCCGGGGTGCCCAGTGGAGAGGAGAGGAGAGGAGCTCATCACCACACAATTACAACATGCTCCGTAGAATTATGGCTTGACACATTAATAGAAAGAAAGCACAAGCGCACAAAGAGGAGAAAGAGGAAAAGCAAAGAAGTACACGTGACGGTCGATCACATTTTTCCCTTTCATCTCTGCCAGGTAACCAGTCCCAAATTTACAAGGAGGCAATAGCTACGGTTTGTTCCCTTTCCAAGACCTGTACTGGAAGGCTCAACACCTCCCCAGCGTGACTGCACAGCTCGCTCGCGGCAGGCTGCAAAATCTAACTGCCTGGGGACAACTCCTTGCTCGGATGGCAGATGAGGTGCAGCAGGGGTGCCCCAAATACCTGTAAACGCGCCAGCTGCCACTCTGGGACGCTGCAAGCACCAACAAGCAGCCTGAATGGGGGCGGGCTCGACGGCACCAGCGCGGGAGGGCCAGGGCGCCCCGCATCCTGCTCTGCAGGGAAGCAAAGGCCGTACCTGCCATGAAGTGAGGCAGGAGGTGCACATGAGGTGGCCGCAGGGCTCTATCTTCACGTCCTTATCGTTTTCTGCACAGATTTTGCAGAGCTGGAAGGTGGAGCCCATCTCGCAGTACAGCTCGTACTGTTCCTAAGAGTGAAAGGAAAGGAGAACAAGTCACGGGGTCCGTTTATGCCTCCCCTTAAAATATCTGCCAGGCAGCGAATCCTGAAAATATGAGAGAGTATTTTCATCCTTTACTACAGCCAAAACTGCCCCCTGGGTAGTTTTTAAAAGATCAGCTTTAATGCCGGAAACTCACATTTTTTAAGGCTTGTGTAAAAGCAAAAGAATCCATTGAGGACCACCTAAATTCCCCCTCTAAGAAGAGGGAAGTCCTGAGAGCACCATAATGAAATCAGCACAGTCATTAGCCAAGAAACACCCCCAGCACAAAGGTTCCAAACTGTAATCCTCAGGGAGGGAAGAAACACCACTGTTAGAAGAAACCACTGCAGCTTCTCTGCTCTGAAGCCTGTTCTCGATTAGCCCAGGTGGAGGCGGAATCTCTACACCCTTTCTCCCCAAACCCAAGCTCTGCATTACCCGGACTGAATTTACAAGACCAAAACAGGGCTTCAGAGGGTCTTGGTGATGCTGCAGGCCAAGAGGCAGGCAGAAAAGAGAGGACATGCCAGCAGTTCCTGCTCACCTGTGTGACTTTAATGTGATCCTGTGGGGTGGGTTCACACAATCCGGTCAGGTCAGGGTTCTGATTCCTTCCATCAGGATATAAATAACTACACAGCAGAACAGAAAATTGCTCAGAAGAAAAGGAAACCTCTACCAGCTATAGCAGAGGCAATGTCGAGGTGATACTCAACATGTAAACAACCCACACGTTCACGAGCAATAAAACTAAAATCCTTTATTGCTACTTGTCTACAAGATTTATGACTCTATAGATAAGCTCTTCTGTTGAGGTCTTTGGAATGCAGATGTTAATCCTCTAGTGGCATCTCTCCCCGAGCCCACGTGGGACTAGCTCTCCTGGTCACACCTTTCTTCCCTCTGATTCTTCCCTCTGACGTAACAAGGCCTGCCTTTCCTCATATCTTCTTAGAATTCTGCAACTAGTTGCTAGAGAGAAGTCTATCATGCCCCCTGTGTCTCCTGCATAGTGTTCAAGAAGTCCAGCGTCAGTGGGAGGAGGGACAGCCTGCTCTGACTCCTGAGTAGAACTTGTGGTGTCTTTTCCCTCGGGGGGTCTCTTGCTTTGATGTGGGCTCGGGTGTTTGCTCAATGGGCAGGGAATCAGGGGGAGGTGCAGCTATCTGCTCAGCCACCCCCAAGCTAGGTTGCAGGGTTGGCTTTTGGATACAGGGTCCCAAGCACAAGACCTCCTCGTGAGGTGCTGTCTCTGTCGGGGCTTCAGGCATGACAGGCAAACGCATGGGAGAACAACCCAGCACAGTGCCTTAGCTGAGAAAGGCCTGGCTGCTGGGAGGGAAGCAACGTTTGACTGCAAAAACAAGCTCTCTCAAAGCGCAGCACCTGCCTGACCCAGAAGGCCTGCAGTAAAGCTTGCTCGGTGGTTTCCCTAGCTGCTAAAAGGAATATACTGAAGAATGGCTGTCTCTTGGCTTCAGGATCTTCCTGCAACACCTGAACCGAACTGCAGGATACGGTGTACCCATTTGTGCAGCACAGTGTCCCTGACTGTGGTCTGGCAGACCATGGAGCCTGAAAGCCAAAAGGACACACTGAGTCTAACTGCAAGGCAGGTCTCAAATTAGGACTCCATCTCATAATCTAATACGATGGTTCAGTATATGTTTAAGTTACATGGCCCATGGAATGACGAATACCTATGAAGACCCAGCCAGGGATGTCATACCTTGAGAGCGCAGAAGAACGACAATGCCCCCGGGGATGCAGCAGCATCCATGGGTCTATTCTCTTCTGCCTTCCAGTGACAGAAGGATCAGGAAGCATGACCTAAAACCTGCACCTGAAGGGCATCCCCTTACAGACTCCCTAACTAAAGCAAGCCAGAGTCACGACACGCTGTGCTGAGAGGTTACTTACAAGCCTTCCCTAAAGCCATCGATCAGGGCTTGAAAGAGGGGCTTGTTGTGGGGGATCGTCTGGAGAATGTTTCCATCTGCAGTGACATAGCCAATGGCCCACTGGCCGAGTCGCGTGCAGCTCAAACGGAAAATATAACTGAAAACAAAAGGAACACACAGACTTCACTGAAAAGATTGCTAGCCAAATTGCCTACAGGTAAAAGAGATTTTTTTTAAAAAAAGACTGAATTGCTGAAAATCTCCCTTTTCCCTCTTATGTTTTCTACCATCAGTTTCATCTGCAGATCTAAATGAGAACTTTCACCCAGGCAGAAAGGATCTGAAAGGCTGACAACTTGTCTCAACATTACATTGAGCCATATCCATCACTTCCAGGGATTCTCTTCACCCCTTTGATGATGCAGGTTGACTTAAGATTGTAAAGGTGCTTTCAAGACTTCAGCTCTTTGGTGATGGAAAGCACCATTCCTAGAAAGAGTTCTAGGACTGGAGGGAACATCACTTCTGAAGGGGGTTTTTTTGGGGGGGGCCTGGGGGGGCATTGTCTAGAATAACACTTTTCACACAATCCCTCCTCTGCAGTCAAACCCACTTTGCAGTATGAAAAGCTGAGGTAAGGTTTGCTGACCAAATGTAAATGGAGTAAAAAGCAAGCTACCTTAACAAGCTCCCACAACTAGCAACATGCTACTAATGAGACAAAATAATTGACATTTGAGCTCTGCAAGAGCCAGGGAGCTCCAGCTTAAGGCTGGAGTTACCATGTTCCCATTTTCAAGTGCAATTAACTTCCCCTTCTTCAAAAACAGGGAAGTGCACATTTTGGTGTGCATATACTGAAAGCGCCCACCCAAACCTTTCCCCATATGGACTAAAAGAGTGAACATTCGTATTTTTGGAAGGTATGCATTCTGTAAACGCAGGCTTGGCAAAGCCAGATTTTAGCCTCCAGCTGTTATGAAAGCAACAAAGCTGAGCCAAACATTAATCAAAATGCAGTTCTGGGGCTACGCAGCAAAATGCTGTAGGTACCCTACTTCAGCACTTTCTAAGCACGTTTTCTGCTGCCCAGCCACCTGACACTCATGAGTACCAACGGGTTCAAGGCTCCTGGCAAAACCCCACAGCCCAGTGGTAGCATGCTTGCTTGGAGGGTTGTCCTACCTGTGGAGAGTTCAGCCCTCCACAGGTAGCACCATCCACAGTGGGACTAGGAAGGCATCTTGCTTGAAGCTAAAAACCTGCTTCTAGTTGGCACCATCAATACTGGGCTCAGTAACGTGGGCTCATACGCCCCTATGTGCTTCCCTTAAGTGGACATCTCAGGCGGCTGATGCCAAACGGACTCCCAACGGTTCTGAGTTACACCCAACTTTTTCCCACACAGCTCGGAAGAGCCAGAAAGAGATGCTGCCTCGAGGTACCCACCTGCCAGGTTTGTGAATGAACTTCTGAAGCCGTGCTTTTACCTCGTCATAGGTCAGGAATGCCATGTAACCGGGGTGGGTGACTGCAAGGCTATTCCAGTTCCTCAACAAAGATGACCAAGGCTGAAGAAAAAAGAGCATCAAAATGTAAGCGATAATCTCTAGCAGGAAGATTTGCCTTCTTAGCATGACCCCTCCACCCTGATGCAAGAATAACGCATTTTATGTAAGGCTAAATCCTCTGTATTTCCCATGCAGGGTTACTACGAAGCAAGTCCAAGTTCAGTGGTGTTTACTTTCAAATAAGTCTGCACAGGATTTACAAATCCAGCACACAATTTCACAGCATTCTGCTAGGCAAGCTAAGCAGTACAATCATGCTCCCATTTTGACATTAGCAGCCCTGCACAAAGGGTTCTCATTTTCTGGTCAGAAACCGGGAGTTTTGACCTTCTCAAAACAAGTTTGCGACTCAGTTAAGAATCTCAGCGAATCGCAAACCTTTGGGGACAGAGTAAGGTCCACTAGTTTATGGCACTTCTCTGGCAAAGCTGATCCAAGAAGCAATTGTCCTCATATCAGCACTTAAATTGTATTGTTCTTGGAGTTCTAAAGTGGCAGTGGAAGGCCACCAGATTAGTGTCACCAGTCTGGAGAAACAGAGGAGAAACATTTACGGGCTGAGCAAGCACAAAACACTTAAATGAAAGCTGATGATACTGACCTGGCTTTACTATAGAATGAGTTACATGTTTGTTTATTCGGTTTCTTTATCACCCAGTAGTTGAAGCATTCTAAATGGTTCACAGTAATTGAAACCATAGGAGACAATGTAAGTTTAAAATATCAAAAAAACACAGTATAATGTAAAAATGAAAACCAAGATGAAACCTAGCAGCAACACAAATAATTAAAATACAGAAACAGATTTAATGCATGAGAAGCTAAAGCGCTTGGGAAAATAAGGTCAGTAGTGAAGCTGTAACAGTGTGAAATTAGTGTCCCCTTTTTATCCTTACCTGAAAAAGCCTGGTAAAGATGTCAAATTCAAACACGGAAATGTAATCATTGCACGTCAAGTCAATAGTTGATTTCAACGCCATCGCCTCCAGGCCTGAACTGATGGGATGCACTTCATGTAGGGACTGACGGAAGGTCTTCCATGGAACAATAGTCCTAGCAGGGGAGGAAAAGCAGTCCTGAGAAAAACTATCTTCTACCACAGTGTCATTAGTATTCAATATATGTGTCGAATTTCACAGCCACAAAGGAAGGAAAGAACATAAGTGCACATAAGCAAGAATGACTTAAGAGAAATGATTCACACTGAAGTGCAACCAAACAGCTTCAGTTCCAATTTTGAATCTGTTCTTGTAACAAATTAAGCTGGCTGCTGAAACACCCGACCTTGTATCAGTGAATCAGCAAGATAAAAGGAGGTGTCACAGTCTTTGTCTAAACAAGGTATCTTGTGCTTAATTAGCTGCTTCTGGATATTAGGCTTGTGCTAAGTCAATTGCTGGAGGTAAAGAAAGGAAACCATTTATAAGGCAGGGCTGCAAGTAAACAGCTTAACCACTGGCATTTACCAAGTACCTGTGGGTGTGCTTCATCAGTGGAAGCTCCGTTAGAAAAGAAGCTATGAATCTGGCCTCCAACCCAGCTAAATTTCAGGGACAAGCACATATAGTTGTAACAGTCTAGCTCGCTGAAGCAGAGACACAGATTAATTCCTCTTTTGAATAAAGTGGATACAAAAAGATCACAAGTGCAGTGATCTACAGAATTGGGAGGAAGGCAGGAAACACCTGACTATTTGCTGGAACCCTAGAAGAAAGGAGCATGTTTTGGAAAGCATACTTACTTTTCTCCAAAAGCTTTTCTCCAGAATTCTGCTGCATCTGCCTTTGTGATCCGGAATGTGTCTCCTTGGAAGAGTCCACTTGGAAAAATACCTTTCAGTTCTGCTAACATATGGCTGAAGATCAGGGACAATTTTGTAAGGTTCCGCCTGCAAGGACACAAAAATAAACCTGCCTTGAAACAAGGAGACAGAGGGAGCAAGGAATGAAGCTGGAAAAATCCTATTTTGGATCATTTTTTCCTAATAGTGGTACATGTGTTGCTATATGCTCTAATTTAACTTCACCTTACAATATCATACACTTCGAGATATGCAATGGAAAGATTTAAAACTCACCCCAACTCATACTGGACATCTATGATTAACCTCGAGCTCACAAGGCCTACTTCAATGCTCTCTTTCATAACTGTTTACCTTTTGACACTGTAACACCAGATTCAAAGAGGTTTGCATCTCATTTGTAATCTGACCTTACTTAATAAGGAAAATCCAGTACATCATTTTCCATTAACCCGGATCTAGTGAAGTAAGGGAAATACAGAGTTCAGGATTTCACAAGAGAAAAGGTGGCCCCTTCTTTTTGTCGAATTTAAAACAGGTGTAAGGAAAGATGAGGGCATCTGGGGTGAGGGGAAAGGCCTGGCTAAAGCATCAACAGGAAAGCGAATGGGTTGACAGGACAAGTGCATGCATAACCCACAATGCGTCTTGCTCTCAAACCAGCAAGGCCTGACCACATTTCAAGCTGGTTCCTTTGCAAGAAGTTAATACTTATTTCTGTATTTTTGTCCTGGTAGCTAAATGCATGAGTTCCTTACAGAGATCCACAGCTGGGGCCTTCTGTGTAGGCACTTTCACGTTCCCAAGACTATGACGGTCACTGAAAAGTGCATAGATCATATTTTTTAAAACAAGAAAAGCAAGAATTTAAGACTCAAAGTGGGCAGCAGAGGCCCACACTGTCTTCCCATTGATAGATTTAGCAACAGCAATGAGGAAACCAGGACTGTCTTGTGTCTATTACTGAATTTTAGGGCAGCAGCCGGGGGGAGGGGGGGTCCCCATCTGCTTAATCTCCAATACTAAATAGAGCTCTTTCAATCACAAGACATTAACTCTTTGGTTATCTTTCTCCGCATCTAGAATTGAGGCAGGGTCAACTAAAAACACTGCTCTGTGTTTCTTTATTGCTTTTCTATATCACCCTAACATCAAAGCTGCCTGCACAATTCACAAAACCAGAGCTTAAAAACCACATGATATGAATACACTCAATAATGCTACAAGAGCTGCTAGGATGGCACAAGCTTGTTTTACAGGCACACGTTTGTTCCAGATCTTCTTGTAGAAGATTCTTGCAGGAGAGAGAAGAGAAGCAAAGGGAAGCAAATTATTCAGTCTTACTGTTGAACTTCTAAAGTGTGGCCTAGCGGTTCATTACAGGAACTCGTGAGGTCCAGGCTCTGGTCCCCATTCAGTTCACCGGGTGACTCTGGACAAGCCCAATCACTCACTCTCAGCCTAACCTACCTTGTTGTGAGATTAAAATGGAAAGGAAGAGGACCATGTAAAGCTACCTTGGGTCCCCTGCAAGAGGAATACAAGTGGGATACAAAGGAAACGTAACAACGCCAGTGCCCCTCAAATCTTATTATTTCCTTAGGACCGCTTTCTCTGATGATGCCACAAACAAAAAGGAACCACAACACAGAAGGGAAAAACTTACATCAACACAACGCAGCATCCCTTCTTTGGTAATGTTCTAATATGCCTTTTACTTGTTTGAAAATACCCCAAACCTGTGATGCCCTGTTGCAATTGCTCCTTGCAAACAGATTCGACCTGCAAATACGCCACTTGAATAAGTTAACTGCACCAAAGAAAAACTCAGTGAGCTTTTTCTCTTCTAGGCTTCTCTAAGCATGTGGACGGTTCTGCTGACTGATCACAACAGGAAGGTATTCATAAATTTCGCAACAATGAAACAACTTTACAAAGGCAGTGCAAACTGTGTTCACATACTGTATTGAAAAACATATCACTGAAAGAATGTAACAAGCCATACCTGTTTTCTCAAGAAAATCAGCACTTGATACTGTTTGCCTTAATTATGGTTCCTAGTACCTACTATAAATATTTATTAAAATCTCTCTCTCTCCCCCCCCCCCCGCCTTCAAGACTTACAAACAAGCAGAGCATAAAACAAAGAGTCATGCAACCCAACCATTTCTGTTTTATGCATTTATTTTATTTACATTCCACCTGGAAATCCCTGCCATGTTTTGGCTTGCTTATTCATAATCCTGGGTTAGACATCAAACAAATCTATGCCTTCCTGATGTGTTAACCTGCTGGCATTAACTTTTTGAAGTCATGAATTTTTAACTCACTGGTGGCTTCCTTAAGGCCTAAATAAGGGCAGAATGGGTTTTTCCTCCAAGAAACCAAGGTAAGTACAACTCAGCAACACGATTAACCAAGCTCACTTTTTAGCAGTTGCTTTCAGGTGCTTAAGCAGCAGAAATGTAAATGTTATTTGCAAGTATAAACGAGGACATAAAATTACAGCATACACAGGCCCGAGGGAAAGCTAAAATACCACACAATGATCGTATGAGCCTGTGGCTGGCAAGCATGGCATGAACATACTGACAAAAGGGAACACGAACACCCAGACAGACAGAGTACACCTGGCAATGAACAAGGATAAGAGCTGCTGGTAATGGTGATGGTTTATTCCATTTCTATGCCACCCAGCAGCCAAAGCTCTCTGGGCAGTTAGCAACAGTATATGCAATGCAGTGAAATCCAAAAACCAGCTGAAATTTCAAGCTCCACTTTAAAACACAATTTATAATCATTTGAGCCACTAAAACAATGCCAGCGCTATTAGACCTGCTAGAAGAAAAGAAAGGGTAGCTGACCTAAAGCCCTTCACACCTCTATCCCAGGACAGGCGTCAGGAGAGGGGGCATTTTTAACCTGGCACCAAAAGGATAGCAGAGTTGTCTCTCTCTCTTGATGCCATCATCCACACCTCCCCAGGAGGGAGGCTTTGCAGGAAGGCCTGGATGCTGGGAGTAGTTCCAGGCAGGTTTAGGAAGGGAGAGAAGTCCTAACAGGTATTGAGGTACAAAGCGGTATAAAGCTACAGGTTAAAACAAGCACACTGAATTTGGCTCAGAAGCATACAGGCAGTCAGCGCAAGTGGGCTGGAATCGGTGTTACATGCTTAAAATTTCTGGGCCCCGGTTATTGATCCAGCTACTGCATTTTGCACAAGCTGGAACCCTGTCTTCTCAAGGACTTCTCAAGGACGCCCTCCACACTACAAACCTGCTCCTTCAAGGGAAGCATCACCATGTATAGAAAAGGGTGATCATCCAATCACTTCTTTGATAAGCAACTGCATGAACAAACAGGGGGAAGAGCCTTCGAGACATTTTCTAGATGCAGCCTGGAATTGCTGCTGGAGCCACCAAGGTGCCTGTGGCCAACCTTGCAGCCTCCCGGGCAAACGTGCACTGGCGCCCTTCAGCATCCATCTTCAGCATTTGCTTCAGTACCTGCTGGGGTCATGCTCTCTGTTGCTTGCTAAGGCACTTCTCCTCCTACTGATCCACCCAACTCCTTTCCCCATTACCTGGCTGCTAATCTCCAATCAACCTCTAATCTCTACTTCAGCTAATGTTTTGTGAGACCTTTGGGCAAAGACTTTCATCCTTACATTCTAATAATCACCAAGCAGAGTTCTCATCAAGTTTAGTATACATTGTTTTCAACCATTAATTTAAGTTTTTGGGGTTTATGCTACCTTTTCTACCATGTAACTTAATCCAACTGTCACTCCAAGAAACATGGTAATCGCATTTTGCAGTATTAAATTGTGTCACATTAATAAACGAGTTGGACTTTAGTGGTCATTCTGTGTTTCTAGAAAGAAAAGAGTGGACAAATGAACCTGTATCAACAACCACAACCGTAACATCTTGGCAGTGACACTTGAGCAGGGCAGAAATCTTTCCTGAAACAGTTAACTCTTCCTCAAGTCCTGTTTGTTGAAATTGAATCCCCTTTTGCTATCACTTTGATGCCATTCTCTCCCTTCTAACTGCAGTCTCTGGGACTAATCACATAGGTAATTCCAGCCAATCAGGGTTCATGCCATGACTTTATGCAGCCAATCAGATTTCGCCATGTGATGACATCATTGAGAGCAAAGAAAGAAATGGGAGAGGCTAATACTTCTTGAAAAGGCCACTGCACTGAAAATCCCAAAGCAGTGACCAAAAAAATGGGACTGGCCGGCCTATGAGGATGGGCTGCTTTAAACACTGCTAAGTGGTCAGGAAGGGCAGTGGTTCACCTCAGCCGCTGGGTAAACTGAATTTCACAGTTATTTAAAAAGTGGGGTGAAGCAGGGTATCGCTCCTATGTTTTCCACTCTCCTTTTATAATGCTTAGTTTCACAAAATGCAAATATTAATATTTCCTGCTGACAAAGGAGTTTGGTCAGAGAACACAGATTAAGAAACCAAAAAGATACTGTTCTCAGTTCTCTCTCCCCCTGCTCTGCAGTAGAGTTATGCTACTTCCTTTCTCGGTTCATTACTATTTTAGTTCCGTATTATCTTGCAGGAAGTCAAGAGGTCAACGAAGTACTTCTAGTCCCAATGAAACCCTTCACTGCAGCCCCTAAACGGGACCTCGTCTCCCCTAGTTCAACTTTCTGCTGCTATTCCCCTCTGACCTGCAATAGGCTGCTCCTTTCCGGTTTCCTGTTTGCTGGATAAATGCATTCTTCCACTGTGAAAAACCGTCTGTCTTGCACAACTCAGAGTCGCATTTTAACCCACTGTGCCTTTCTTTGCCCCAATAAGCATCTGTAACTTAGCTCAGTTGTGCACACACAACAAGTACCTTCAGAACCACACAAAAGCCCTTCAAGAAAAGAGCTTTCCTAGAATATCTTTCAAAGTTAAGAGCAACTAACTGGGTCAATATAGTTCATATACAGCAGAAAGACTGCTCACAGAACCTGGGTTATGATGCTGCTGCTGACAGCACCTGGTACCTTGAATTAAATTATACATAAAACCAAGAACAAAGGCAAGAAGCAAGCACAGAATAAATGTAGAACACAGCAC